TTCTCAATAAGAATCCTCATAATTTTTATCTCGTCATCTAAAGTAATGTTTTCTGATTGAAATAACACGCTGACATAGATAATTGCTTGACGCGCTTTGAAACCAGAAGGTTGTCATGATAATAAACTCAAATGAATGAATCCATTTCCCAAAGATTTTACGTCATTCAATAGATTAGCAGTTAAATCAAGATTCTGAATAGAAAAAAAGATTTCACTTGGTCACTTAAGCAATGGCTTCACAACCTCAATGCATGCATTCCATCGGGTTTGTGAGGTTTAAAGAAAACACAAACTAGTCATCTCGGTAAAGATTTTCCATCGTAGAGGGCTTCCACTAAAAAGATTGTAGAATAACTAAATCCGGCCAAAATAGTTCTTCATTTCTACAGAAGATTCAAGGGAATAAACATCAGCTAGGTTAAGGTTATGAGCGCTGCATGGCATGTGAAAAGCTTGAGGATTTCTCTGAATAATGATTGATTGTACTACTTTGTACACACTACACATGTTGGCACCGTTGTTGTATCCTTAACCTCGACAGTCCTTCATGTTGATGTCATTTTGATCCAAGACATCTATAATTATTTTGGTAATATCCACACCTAAATATATTTATCTTCTTGTTGAAAGCGAGAAACCTCTTCAAGATATAACTAAAGGGCCTTATTGAGCTTTGCGAATAGCTCTAGAGTTGCAAGAAAACTGCTGCTATCGCCATCATCAATCATTTTTGATAAGCCTAAAACGTAATTGGTTTATATTTGTAATTAAAATGGTTTATATTTGTAATTAAATTTTAATTACAAATATAAACAATGACTTTCTGTGTAATTATAATAAAAATAAATTATAACATAAATATAAATATATTAAAAACATTCACAAATATATCTCTGAAGCTAAGGTTGCGTAATACTAACAAGAGAATTACATCTAAGATACATTTTAAAATTTCATTTCTTATCGATTTTTCTAAACTTGAATAGTTTAGAAAAATCGATAATAGTCTCAACACACTAAAATAACTATAAATGCTGTTATATCCACGGATCCGAAAGAATTGATCAAGACAAAATAATTTAGGCGTTATAATGACATTATATTTGCTGTAATGTTATGGTGTTATGTTAGGGTTTTAAATTTAAAGATGTTGGTTGTTATATTTGCTATTACTTTTACTGATGGTTTTGCATTTATACTTGCTGCTATATTTGATGTCACACATGACAGCAAATATATCAGCAAAATATCATTGCAATAAATAAGTTTTGAAATTGGCACATTAGTTTGTAAAGCGGTATCTGTGGTAGATTATTACCTCCGCCTGAATTATTACCTCCCCATTGAAAACTCAAAACGAGGTTGCGCTTTCAGTTAGAGGTGTACCTAAAACGTCCGTATTGCCTTGAACATAAACATAAACAACAAGAAAGACGCTTTGAGGACGAGAATTCGAGAACTAAAGTTTGCTTGGTCTCTTGTGATATTTCAACTTCATATTTTTGATAGGTAATTTAAGAAAGGTTATATAAGAAAGATTGATGATAATAGAAATTATACAACTGTAAACTAACTAGTTATACATTTACATGAAAATATTATAACCTTAGACTAAGTCTAAGTAAATCACTCGATATGAGACGGTGCGAACATGCGAATTGATGTTGTGATAATGTTATTTATTGATAGTGATAGAAATTATACAACTATAAATAATTAGTCCTACATCTACAACTACTTTTATATCTGCCTGAATTATCACCTTCCTCCTAAATCACTAATCTTGCGCCTGAATTATCATATCACCCCTAATAAATCAATCAATGAAAGATAGTGGTAATTGTATTGTGTGATGGTGATAGAAGTTTTGCAACTATAAATTAAGTAGTCATTTGTTTACTTGAAATACTCTACAAATATTCTTTTTATCTGTCTGAACCTCTTCCCTAGTAAATCACTAGACTTGTGCCTGAAATATTCCCTCCCTTTAGTAAATCAATCAGTATAAGATGGTGTGATAATATTATTTAGTGATAGTGATAGAAATTATACAACTATAAATAATTAGTCATACATTTACATGAACATACTCTACAAATACTTTTGTATTTTTCTAAATTATCACCTCCTCACTAGTAAATCACTAAAGTTGCACCTAAATTATTACCTCCCCCTAATACATCTATTATAATGAGATGGTGTGATAATGGTATTGTGGGATAATGATAGAGATTAAAGAACTAAAAATTAATTAGTCATATATTTACTTGAAAATAATCTAAAATTCGTCATATCTGTCTGAATTATCACCCTTGTAAATCATTTAACTTGTGTTTGAATTATTGCCTCCTAGTAAATTAATCAACATGGGATGCTATTGAGTGGCAGTGATCTTTGTATTTTATTGTCACTTAAATGTATTCAAAAAGTTATGTTTATGTTCGATTTTAGTGACTCAACTTGTGATAGTGTGATGTTTTCTGGATGGTTGTTGTCAAATCAATGAAAAAGATGAAGATTACTGGCAGAAGGTATGTTTGTTGTTTGTTTAAAAAAGATTGATACTGCTATTGTTTCGCAGTGGAAGCTTTTAAAGTTCCACCACTTATATGGAACCATCAGGCCGTAATAGTCTTAAGAGAAGGAAGAAATATTTTATATAAGTCCAAGGAAGTGCTGGATAAATTATAACATTTGGACAGATGTCCAGTATTGAGAGTCGGTGTTTAAAAGAGGAGTACTATTCAGTGATTACGTTTGAGTTAAGTTATTGTTTTTTGTGTTTGTACTGTCCTAAACGTTAAAATTTTATGTGTCATTTAATGTCTTTATTTGTTTGAATCTGTGTGTTCGTAAATAATTTGATTCTCAGTCTTGTTCAGTTCCGATTTTATTATGTTCTCCTAATATATAAAGTTCGCAACTAGAACAAGTGAGTATAGTCACTAGTTGAACATATTTAGCCGTAAATGCCTTAGATAAAGGAAGTGATTGATTATATTAGAAATAGTTATTGTTTTTACTTAATTCCAGTTTTGTTTAACTTACTACAGGTTCAATCACAATTAATACCGTTTAGTGGAGTTGATCGTTTTTGTGAATTTGTTTTATAAAAACATTCACCCTTATAACGGAAATATTCGTTTCAAATTTAGTTTATATACTCAAATGCGACAAACACAATAAGTCTGTTTATTTTCATACAACCCGAACACCTTCATTATTAGCATAAATGGAGAGTAGTTGATAGAAAAATGTTGTCTAACGCAATGAGCGAAAAAAATACCCTCGATAATTTGCGGCCACATTTTAGGATTTTCTTCCAAAATCTTTACAAAAGAGTTCTTTATTGTTCGGTTTTGTCGTTCTAGCAAACCCTCTCTTCTACGGATGATAAGCAGACGTAACTCTCCGTTCTACCCTAGTTAATTCATGTAGTTGTTTACATACCTCATTTACAAATTGCCGACCTTGGGCATTGATTTGGATTTTAAAGCACCCATGCCGAAACATTAACTTGTACAAAAATTGAGCAATAGTTTGCTCTGATTTGTCCTTGATCGGTTTGGTTTCTAACTATTTTGAAAAATAGTCAATCAAGGCGAAGCCATGACAACACCCATCAACCAATGGAGGTTAAGATATCCATTCCAACTTGTTTCATAACACTTGATGGTACTGGTATTGACTTCAGTTCTACTTTCAGAGACTTTCGGTCACCTTGTTTTTAGTACTATTTGCAACTCTTTATATATTCACTGATTTCAACAGCAACACTATGCCAAATCGTTGTGCAATTTTTTCATACGAAGTATTTTTTACTCTATGAGAGGACATTGTTTTGGAGTGCTCAGAATCTCCAATACCTCGGTGCACATCTCTGATAATTTCCAATTGGCGTTCCTTAACTTTGATAATCATTCTTTTCTTATAAAATAAATGTCCCTCTTTCACTTCAAAGCGTTTTGTTGCTCTTCGAAAATTTGATTAACATCCGTAATTAAGCGTAGGAATAGTAGAAGGGTATGTTTTATTTCTTAGATATTCTTCTATTTCATCAAAATAAAAATGTTTTCTTTCCTTCGCCATGATACTCGTGTATGATACTCATGACACTCGTGTGTTTGTTTCTCAAAATTGTTTGTTTATTTAAGTAAAAACTTATATATTTGTTTTATATTCACGTTTTATATTCACATGTATTTGCGTTCAAACCGACTTTGATTAACAACAGAATGATTTCTTTGTACGTTTTCTTCGCGACTTGTCATACTTTCTTACTCATACTTGTCATACATAATTTTATTGCGAAAAAAGTCATTTTTTAGAGTCTTAATTTACAACTCCAATCATAATTTTCCGGGAAATTATGACTCATGACGTAAAAATTTATTGGGAAAACAAGACTTTGAAGTCTTAATCGGACAGATTAACTTCCGCAATAAAAATATGTTATTTGTATAGTGTTTACTTTAATCATGGCGTCATTATAAAACGTTAAAAAAAAAAGTATTTTGGTTGGTTATTATAAACCCTCTTTATACCTAAATCCTGGCCTAGGCCAAAGCAACTCTTCAAACGTGCTTATGGTGCCACCCGGTCACATCACATTTGAACGTACAAGTAAATAATAATTTATAATATTAAAAATGTATCAAAAAAATAAAAGTAATAATTTATCATTGTTTTATAGGCTGACGATGTTGGTAAATCTATAAAGCAATTTAAAAGAAAAAAAATTTTTTAATAATTTACAAATCTACCATCTTTTTATTTATTTATTACCAAGTTTTCATTTTGAAAAAGTTTTTTTCTTGTTAAATATTTGCACTTGTACTTTTTTTACACATAATACTTTTTTCTAATTGAGTTTTTTCCATCTTTACTTGCATCTGCAACCTTCACATGTTAAAAAAAATAGTTGTACTTATTAGATATTTCCAAATTAAATCTAATACTATTAAAACTTAACTTTCAGTGAATTAAAGAAAAAATGTATTTCATATATATAATAAGTATTTATTTCAAATCATCAAAACATCTATCTAGCACATGTTACACTTGTTATGTTATGCAATAATGCTTCCTGATAAAATTCAATAACGCGAAGATGCTTTTTTTTTCTTGTTCTGTTTAAAAATGTAAGAGCCTATTGAAATACTTGACCAAATATCTCGCAATAATGTTCGAAATGCTCGACGGTATTGTTTGTTCATTAATGCGTATACAAAAGGATTAAATGCGGAATTAAACATAGGCAGTAAATCCACAAAAATGATTTGTTTCCAAAAAGAGGAAAACTCTTCTTGAAAGCATCTTGGACACCATTTAAGTCCAATAGATAATATACTGACAGGAAGCCAACATACCAGAAATAAACCATATATGGTAGCAACAGTTTTTGTAACTTTAAGCATTAAATTTTTGCTTCCGTTAAACTTTTTTTTGGGAGTAACAGATGAAGTTTTAGTTAATGGTGTCATTCTAGATCCTTGACGGGAAAGATTTAAACTAACATTAGAAATTCTTTCTTCTTTATAAAAGCTTCCCGTGTGTCGCTCTGTAGGATCTTCTCTGAAGGATTGATTTGGAGTGAGGTTAATGGCAGTAGTAGTCTGCGAATGCTGTGAATAAAAAGAAGTACCAAAATCGTTCAATTTTAGATCTTTTTCCGTTTTTGCTATCCGCTGCGCGTGTCTTCTTGAAATTTGAAACACACGTGCATAAATAAATCCCATTATAATGACGGGTAAATAAAATACAATTGTGTAGGATAAAATAATGAACTCTTTATTGATAAAAACACACTCTCTCACGTGATTTTCTTCTCCAGAATCAACTTTTATTGAACGTTTATCAAATAAAACAGACAAACCCCATGTTATGGCGTAAAACCAAACAAAAGTAATCACTCCTTTTGCTCTTCGAACGGTAAGTTTTTGAGTATACTCATATGGGAACTCAATGGCAACAAATCGATCAATGGAAATTGCAAATAAGTTAGTAATTGAAGCAACAAAAAAAACGTTATCCGATGTAATGTAAAACTTACAAACGTTTAGACTATAGCAAAAATTAATATTGTGATAAGCTTTGAGCATTTTGATTGGCACAATAAACAATGTAACAAGTAAATCACTTGCTGCCAACGATGCTATGAAATAATTTGTAATCGTCTTTTTTAACGTAAAAGAGCGAAATACAGATAACAAAACAATTAGATTACCAAAAAAAGCAAGAAAAAATATTAAGACCCAGAACGCCATGTAAAAAAGGAATATTGTCGACGTGTTCTCCGAACATTTAAATTTAACTGCATGATCAATACAACTTAACGTGTCATTTAACATAGAATTTACTACAAATCTAATGTTTGATAATTTTGTTGTTCTATCAGTTAAAGGCGGAAAACATTTTGCTGTCGCTTGCAGTAGTACTGAATTTTTTTTTCTCAAGTTTTCAATGGTGTTTCCAATGGAAGTCACAATACAACACTGCAACGAAATTGAGAGATTTCCAACCATATTATTTAAACTAAAAAAAGAAAGAAATTATATGCACATGTAATCTAATACATAGTTCATTCAGAGTCAGATATGACGATGAAATAACGATGACTTATTTAAAAATAATCTACATTTCATTGGACCAAGAATTTGTTAAAGCAAGATTTTTAAAAAATATATCAAATTGTCGGGGATAGTGCAAATCCGTGTAACTAACGTTGGATATATCTTACTGCGCATCTGCACAACAGATAGTTTTACAGGAGAAGGTTAAAACTTTTTACATTTTTTATTTCAACAGACGTTGGGCTCGTTTTGGCTCAGAGAGTTTTATTCATGTTCTTAGTAATGTCAACATCAGGTATTAGATGTTAAAGTTATTAATTTATGTGCTCAACGTTAATTGGCTACATTTGTCAGGTACGCTGTATTTTCCTATGCTAGTGACGCGGATTTGCACAACCCTCGACGAAATGCAATGTTACAGGAAGTCAAATCTAAATTATTCACTGCTTGTAAGACTTGACTACAAGTTACAAACTTTTATTTGTAGTTATAAACTTTTATTTACAGTTGTAAACTTTTATTTGCAGCTTTGTTTGTGCCAAATTTGTAACTTAGAATTTTAAATAAATATTTTGTATCTTTAGTCACATAATATGCGCTTTAAACGTAGTAAAGTTAAGAAATCCAAAATACTTTTTATGTAAATATAAATGCATTTATTAATTTCTTTGCTTTCCTTGCAATAATTTCTTTTGAACCTCGAGTTAAGTCTTATTAATTAGTTTTATTAATTATTAATTAGTTAATCAAGAAATTAGGAAATAAATTAATTAACAAACAAAGTTTTTTAAAGAAATGTTTAGACTTGTATACTTAATTTGCTTTGCGGACTACTAGTAGTCAAGCTGCAAATCAAATCAAATCAATATGCATAAATATTTAGTTTATGTAAATTTCAAAACTGAATGTCAATTATGTAATTCAAATAAGTAAAACAATAGTTTAAACCTTTTTTAAAAAACTTTATTTAAATAAGAAATAAATTAATAAACTTTGTTTATTAATTTATTTCTTTAATGATTATGTTATTAATTTATTTCTTTATTGATTAACTAAATACTTTTTTACTTACTTTTTGTTTTGTATTTTTTAAACTTTTTGCAATATAAAAAATGTACTAAGTAATGGTACAAATGAGCGATTTATAGTTACAAATAGGAGAGTCCTATGACAATTAGATTGTTACTAGTTTTGTTAATATCAGGACCTATTGCTCGTTAAAAAGCAGTATTTACTTCTTTTCATTCTAACTCGTAACTTCAATAATTGATACTAACCCAGCCAACATTGACAAACGGTACCGTATTGTTTTTGTCTTGGCTCACGAGAACGGGATTTTGACGGGTAAAAGTTTAGGTTTCCGGACAGGTCCCAGCTGGTAAAAAAATCCAGCAAATTTGCTTTATTGGTATTTATCAGGGCCGAATGATCTGGGTTTCCCAGAAGGTTCCCAAAAGGTTTAAACTGATAATTAAAAAATCATTACAAAACTTATTCGATGGTTGCCATTTGTAATTCGTATTGTGCGTGAAATTAGTTTAAAAACTTAACTTTTATGCATTATATTTTTGGTATGTATTATATTTACATTTTAGTTAAATAGAATTTGTTCGGTGTATTTTTTCACTACGAAACTTCATTCAGTTTTAGAATTTCATTTATTTATTACCATTATAAGTTTTGCTTCTGCTAGTTATGGTAATAACTGCTTTAAAGTTGCTTAAAAACAAGAAACATTCAAAAAGCAAACAGGCGAGTTTTGTGATAGATTGTTTTTACAGATTTATTCTTTTCCGTTGATTTTTCTTTATTTTATCTAATCAAAATAACTGGTGTTAACAAAGTTTACCCACTGTCAGATATAAATATCAAGTGTTTACAAATAAATGCAAAAATGGCTTTACTGTTATGCATCCACTACAGTTTTAAATCATTGATGTTTTTTGACATTTTAAAATTGTATGCTTGTAATATCAACAATAACATCATACATGATAATAACTTATACGTACAATTCTTATACTAATAAATACTTATAAATTATAACTATAATACTTAATTTTAAATTAAGTATATATAAATAAGTATATATGTTATCAGTATTGTAAATATAAATTAAGTTTATATTTACAATACTGATAACATATTTAATATAAACTTTTACATTCAATTATTTACAAAACTTTAATTTAACTTGATAACTTTAACATAAACAAGGATAACTAAAAGAAGATAATAGTTATAATATAGATCATGACCATATGCTTATTTATTATAACTAAGTTATAAAATGTTAAACATTGTTTTTGTTTTCCATAACTTAATTTTAAAATGTTGGAATAAATATATTAAGTTCCAAGTTAAAAGAACAAAAATAAGTCCTATATGATATGTATCTTATGTATATCTTGTATTTTGCAGTATATTGAAGAATATTTCTGCTTGGTAAACACTGGCTGTTGACAATATTTGCATATTTATATGAGTAAAAATGACTGAAACAACCAGAATATATTTTTGATAAATATTAGTAATGACAGGCTAGTAATTATAATATTAGTACTAATGGTAATAAATTTTATTTATTAGAATTATTGAGAGACTTACGTGTGATAGAATGCATGAACTTTGAGGACAAATATAATGATTGGATAAAATATTACTTTATTATTTGTAATACCTATTAAAAAATTTTTTAAGAATTTTGGAGCCCTTATGACAGGTTTTTTTAGGGGGTGGAGGAGAGATGGAAGGCTCGGATCTATTAGCCGCAACACTATATAAGGTTTCTGATGAGTCTTAGTTGATGAAACCGCAGTGTAAAATTAAAAAAGTTTGATTAGTGATTGATAAATGAATTTATAAATTTTATATATTTATGAATAAATATATAAAATTATATACAATATAAATATAAATTTTTTTTTATATTATAGTTTTATTTAATTTATCAGTAACTAAAGGAATGGTATAAATTTATTATATGAATCACAAGCATATGCTTATTTATTACAAGTACATTTTAAAACATTGAAATAAATGTTGATTATAAAATTAAGGTTTATTTTTCTACCTTCCATGGTGAACATTACAATTACTATCTAAAGAGTGTTAGGGAGAAATCATAAGAGTTTTATACCATACTAAAATTAATGTATGCGTTACTTATGAAATTTAAGACTAAAAATTAAATTTAAATTTTTTACAGCTCATATTGAAATGAGATATTGTGCAAAGAAAGAAGTTTTCAAAGAAGTTGTTTTAACAATGGAAAAGCTTCCGATTTGCAAGATAACCATGAAAGTATTTGATACATGATTAAAGAATCGTTTAAAAGTTAGCTTAATTTTGACACTGTAATTTTATTTATTTTGTTTGAAATAAACCAATAAAGTTATATATAACTTTGCTTTTTCTGTAAATTTTTAACATTTTAAACGTAGTTTTACAAGATTTGCAATGGATAAATCCCACAAGGTTTATCAATTGCAAATCTTGCAAAACTATATGAGATCTGGGCCCATATGGGTATCCCATCTGGGGCCCAGACAAATCCTTTAAAACCGTAAGGGGCCCATTTGGGTTTGCAACTGGGACACATATGGGAAGCCCATACTCATATGGGCCCAGAGGAAAACCGCAGCCAAGATCTAGTGGGTTCTTGATGGGCTTCCCATATGTGTCCCAGTTGCAAACCCAAATGGGCCCCTTACGGTTTTAAAGGATTTGTCTGGGCCCCAGATGGGATACCCAGCGGGCATACCCATAACAGCCCCATATGGAAACTGCGGCAAAGATCCATGGGGATACCATTGGTCTTCTCATACGGGACCCAGTTGACAACCCGTATAGGCCCTGTACATTACCATATGTCAATGTTGGCTGGGATGCTTCTTTTTAATAAAAAAATGACCATAAAGATTACAAGATTATATAAGATTATATTAACCACTATATTTCTTTAGTGTTTAATATTTTTAGTAACTTCATAGTAACTTTTAATAACTTTAGTAACTTAAATTGAGTATCTTAAAAATTCTAGTTTGTGTATAACATAGTTGATTGTCAGCCCATAAAATTTAATGTTTAAAATGTAAGCATTTTTTATTTAAAAAGTTTTTTAAGAATTTTCATAACTGTTTAGTGCTAAAAAGTTTCTTATTATCAGTTTTTTATAAATAAAAAAGCGGTATTTTTTCAGCTTACACGCATGCGTATCTGTTGAATATGTTTATCTAAATCATGGATGAACCTGTTAATTGGAGCTTTTCTATTTCCAATGCAGATGTTGATGCTAAATAAATATGCCCATTTTTAGGGGATGAGTTAATCATGAAGATGGACTCAAATAGGGTACACTTAAAAAAAGATTTTTAATGATATTTAATATATATATTTAATCAAACTAGCTTTACACATAATGCGTAAAAAATCAATAATATTTTCTATCAGCATGGAATTTATGGATTTATGGTTAAGTATTATTAAGGGTTCTTATTTTTTTAACTTGCTGCAAACGGGATAATTAACATTAGGGGCAATCAATTTCTTAAGTTTATTACCAATCAATCAAGAATATTGAAGTTTCAAGTATTTCTGTTAGATAGATATTCTGTTAACTGCCTATTACGCAAATTGGGTTATTACGCGAATCTAGCACAAGAGATATATTTGATTTTTTGATTTGATGTATTCGAATATTTACATGTTAAACAGTATTTACATTTATATATCCGAAATTTTCATCTATGCCCGAAGGAAGTTTAAAGTTTTATCAAACAAAGTTCATTCCAATATTTTCCAGATATGTCATAAATCGAGTTATGTCGTGACAGATAGTTTGAAATAAATTCACGCCGGGTTTTATATGTCATAAATCGATTTATGTCGCGACAGAAAGTTTGAAATAAATTTACGCCGGGTTTAATGCGAAGTTCACCTCTTTAGGAGTTAATAAAGTTTTTTCATATTTTTAATAATAGCGTAATGTCATATATTTAAAAATTGCGTAATACCAAATAATATATTAAGTAATTGCGTAATATTATATATTTAATATTGGGTAAGATTTAAATTGAAAACAAACACAAACGATTCTTTTATAGTTAATAAAAAACAGTTGAAACTCACATTTCATATTTACTAGAAAAAGAAGGCGATAAAAAAATGAGGAAAAAAAGTAATTTTTCAGAACAATATTGATCCAAAAAGTTTCCTTATTAGGGAGGTTATTGATAAAGTATAGTCAAAATAAAAAATGTAGAGTAAATGCAGGTCAAATGTTAAGAGTTTTAATTCATTTTTTTTTTCGCTGTTGCTCGCGCAACGGTACCGTCGCTTTAATTTTTTTCTAAAAGTCACGGTGGCGATTTCTGATTGTTTGATTTTTTTTTCTTTTATTTAAAGAATGCATGCCCAAACCAAAACACTTAATCGACGTATGTGCGCTCCATTGCACTTATCCCTAAATCAGTCGATGTATGTATGCTTCACTTCGCTTATCCGTAAGTCAGTCGACGTATGTACATTCACTGCGCCTATCCCTAAATCAGTGGATGTATGTACACTAGGGTGGGTCGTACTTTTAAAATTTTGGATATGGGAGCGCGCGCAATAATTTTTTTATGTATTAGGATATTAGAAGAGACGTGAATAATTTTTTTTTTTTCTTAAAAAGTTTCTCTAGTGTGGGCGCAGGGCGTTTGAAAAATGTCAGTTTTACGAAAAACTCATCATATTGACATTTTTCGGCCTTTTTTATATTAGCCAAAGGTAAGGCAATTATCAAAAAGCAATCAGACATAACATAGACATAAAAATAAAACATAATATTTGATGCTACTTTTCTTAATGCTATACAAACACGGTAGACGTATGAAAAAATGTCTACCATTATGGACTTTAAAAAAATATATATCTATATATAAATGTTAGAAATGGGATGGCGCCCAATATTTTTTTTATGTATTAGGATATTAGAAAAGACGTGAATAATTTATTTTTTCTTAAAAAGTTCATCTTTTGAGGGCGCAGGGCGTTTAAAAAATGTCAGTTTTACAAAAAACGCATCAAATTAGCACTTTTCTGCCTTTTTTTCATAAGCCAATGGTGATACAATCATCAAAAAACAACAAGGCACAATATAGACATTAAAATAAAACATAACTTTGGGTGCTACTGTTCATAAATTCATACAAAAACGTATTCATAAGTATACCGTGTTTGCTTTAGGATATTAGAAGAGGAAAAAATTTTTATTTGCTCTATAGATAATAAATAAGATAGTTCCTACAATAATTTACAAACTTTCTGAAGGATTAAAAACTTATTGTTCCTAAATAAAATGTTATCTAAAAGATACAATATATTTAAAGCTCAAATTATTTATTGAGATCATAAATAAAATCCAAAGCAAAACAACAAAAAATTCATATTGCTTAAATTAATTTAAATAGATCTTTTTTTGATTGGTTTACGGGTATGATTTCTCGATGTGCTAATGTTGCTCTGATGAACCCATCTCTTCTATCTTTTCCAAACACCAATTGAGAAGCTCTTGTGACTACTTGGACACATCATTCAATAGCTTGCCCACGAACAGGAAAACAAGGTACACACATCGGAATATCATTGTATTTTAAAAGTTTATCCTTTGACAATAAACATGTAAGTAAAGGTTCGTGTACATCCAAACTCCAATCAATTAGATCAAAAAGTGATTCAGCATTTTCATTATGAATATTATGTTTTCTACTTTTTACATTAGTGTTTCCGTATTTTAAATCTCCTCTTAACTTTAAAATTGTTTCAACTGCAAATTATCCTTCTGCTTTTTCTAGACTACACAACAATGCTTGAAGAACATTTTCACTATGAGCATTCCATGAAGAAGATAAAACATAGGGCATTATAATGTCTTTAACTTTAAGTCTTTGATATGAAAGAAGTTTTAATTGCTTGAGTATATGGTTAGGCTCTTCAATCCACTTCCACTTTACTTTGATTTCAAACCAAAGTGGCGCATAAACTCCAACAATAAACTCCACCAGAAGTTGAAGATTATATGTTTTTTCAACTGAAAGTACAATTTCGGAGCACCAAAGTAAACATATTCTATTTGCGAAATTCAACCATTTTGCATGCGAATGTGGCCCAATTTCTTTACCTTTAAGATTTTTTGGAAAAACCCCAGCGTTAATTGCATGGGTAATTTGATAAAGATACTTTTGATCATCTGATAACGATTTTACAACTTCAGAATCAAGTTCTATTATTGCATTAGGAAATTCAATTTTTTTATGCTACCTTTGACTTTGAAGCTAGTTGCCTTACCTATAAGTTTTCCAATAGAACCAGAAAAGTTATTTTTAGACGCAGTTTTTCCGACAAGCTGAATCATAAGATGTCGGAGAGGTAGCTCATTTGTATGAAGAGCACAAATTACTCACATTAGTTTTTTATTCAATTTATGTTCAAGATAATGGATAACACCTCCTTTCCAACCAGTGTTTAAATTTGTTGAGTCTGCACCAATGGCAACTAAATAGTCTCCAACATCATGATTCATAACCCATTTGTAAAGATTATCAGCTATTTGCTCAGCTGCAATCTCTACTCTTTCTTCAGAATTGTTAGTGAAATGAAATTGGTATTTTCCTCCAGGTTCAGAACAAACTGAAAATGTTCTTCTTTTTTTTCCGATTGATGTAATTTTCCATCTTCTTCTCTCATGTACTTAATTAAATCTTTTCGATCAAAAAATATACATTGAATATTATCACTCATTGCTACTTTTTCAGCTCTACTCTAGGATTTCTTTCATTAGCTTAGTCTTACTTCGTTTTATTTTGTTGTGATCAACAAAAATATCAGTATTTTTCTTTAAAAAATGTGCATCTTTGCAGAAGCTAAAGCTTCTGTTGCCAATGTCCGAATCGTTTGTTGTTTGAAATTCTACTGCTAAAGGAGAAAATAAATTATGTTAAATAATTTTAATCAAAATAATTTATATTCAATCTATACTCAATTTTTTAATTCACCGTTTAAACAAAAATTGACAAAATTTTTTTTAATATTTTAGCATTTACCTATATCCTCACTATTTGCTCCAGGTATTTTAGAGTATGATTCTTTTCAATCTAAATATCTTGTTAACCGATGTGTCTCTGATATATCAACTAATCTTATTTGTAAAGAACTTTTGTTACCAATTTTATTTCTTTGAGCTTGTAGGAAAAATAGTTCTTGCAAAGGTATCTTTGCTACTTTTGGACATATGCAAGTTACATGAGCTTCAAAAAGACAACCATTGCATCCATTTTCATTACAGCATAAGATTTTGTACTTACATTTTTTTCAAATCAAATAGCTTAACAAGTTTGTCCGTATACATAATTCTTTTTTT